GTTATTCGAAGGTTCTATAAAGAGTAAAGGTGTGGTCAGAACATGAATGCCTCTACCGGAAACCTGCTCAATTTCGATAGTGGTGTATCAGCTGCTTGCTTCAGCCTTTCTGAGATAATTTCGAAGAATAGCTCTTCGATACTGTAATAACACACTGGCTAGAGCGCTCAATTATCTGCCCTCTTTAAATATGTAGAAAGTTATATCGCGCTTAGTTTCTCAGCGAGGGAAACATTTCATTGTCCATATTTTATGAAATAAAGCAGGAAGGTTTTCTGTTGCTCCCTTCATGTTTAATCGACGCAGGGAGGATTTGATCTTCACTGCTGGCCTTCTTCACCTTGAGATGCAGCAGTTCCTTTTGGATTTTTAGTTTTGTAGGGGAAATCTGGAAGACAGCTCTTGAATCTGTTGGAAATGATATTTTAAGCGATTCGTTCTTACCTGCCAATGGCACACCCTTGGAGTCTTTGATGCGGGTGGAGTGAGCTCTCTGTTTATCAGGCAGCCGTACTCCTTCGCACGCTGTGCAACATTTTCCATTTCTGACTGCCTTATCGATCTGCCTGATTTCATCTTCTGGCCAAAGTTCCCTTTACCACCTATAGCTCTTGTTGACTGCGCTAATGAGATGGAGATGAGTTGCCTTCCAGAGTGCAATAGGGTGTTGTAAGTACTCTTTCCTTGCCTACTTTTTACGCTCTTTAATGGCTAAGTCCTCCGTTGCAATGCAGGCTAGATTGGCTCTCCTCTTTCTGATTCCAACTACGTTTTTCACCAATGAGATGACTGTGCGTAATAATTCTATTTCATTTTGGTACGCCGGCTGCGTCACTTCTTTTTATTATATCCTGTCTACATCGAAAAGCTGCTGTGTTTCAGTCGGTTGACCATTGATGTGGCACTGCTAATTTTGAAGAAAGTTTCGCTATGACGATATGGTGATCATGTTCCGAATATACTTCACGTTTGACGCTGAGTAACGAACTGGGACATTTGTGACTGATAAGGACGTGATCCATTTTGGATTTTAGGCCTCCGTCAGGGTATGCCCATTTAATTTGGTGGATTTGCTTATGAGTGAAATGGGACTCGTCGACGATTAAGCTCTCTGTCGCACCAAAGCTTAACAAGCGTGCGCAGTTGTCATTCGTGATGTAAATTGCGTTAGGTGGAGTACGTCTGGCCGGTGCTGTTGTCAGCGCCAATCTTCGCGTTAAGGGTCGCCTGTAACAAGGATAACGTCATAACCCTGGAAAGCGCTAGTAGCTGACTGCAAACAGTCATACAAAGCGTCTTTGTCGGGGGCATAAGTGACAGTCACATTCATTGTCGCTTGTTTGACATTTACGCCACAGATCAAGATCACGCTTACCGTTGCAGAGTAAATAATGCCCACACCGGCACGGCGCAATTTACTGTGGCCAAACCACAATGAAGACCACCTATTTGCAGGTAAAGCGCTACCTTCAGTGGAAGACAAACTTCCGTGTTCGCCAGTGTAAGTTTGTACTCTGGTGTAGTCATGCGGTAGACATCGTCCAACTTACTTTTGCCAGTTAAGGAACGAACGTTTCAACTTGCAACACGTATTTTAGATTTTGTAATACTGACCGCTGGCACGCCGGGTTTCTTGGTTCTGCGTTGTCGGGTTAGTTGCCAGCGTGAACCTCTCATGAGCAATAACAAGAAAGTTTGTCTAAAATCGGTTATTTAGGAAATCAACCCAAAAACGGTAACCCGTCTATACGAAGGCATTAAAAAACAGATCAGATAAATATAGCAATACTTAGAAAAACTTTTAAAAAATCTGGAACGTTATGTAAAACAGTTTAATCTTTACTTGCTGAGCACAGAGCATTTATCAGGCAAAATAGAAACAACATCGGTCTGACCACCAATCGTCGGTGCCCAGCAAAGACAACCAGAAGTCACGAATGTACAAATTTGCTAAATATACTTTGGTTTCAACCAAGCCAGATATGATTTAGCTACCGAATCCGAGCAGATCTGTTGAGCATCATGGTATAAAACACCAGTGAAGGACATCGTAGGTTGAGATAAAATGACTGAAGATCACCACGATGTGAATTGTAGGAATCACCATATTACATGCAGGTGCTCCCAACAGAGGTGAATCCTCGCAGAGGAGTTCCACTGTCGCCTTTGAGATAATGGCCCAGAATGAGTTCGGCGAATTTAAGCGAAACCGATTGATCTGGTGCAGGCACTGCCACATGCAAAGACCACCTAAATTCGTTGGTGAAAACATCTTGACATCAGTTACGTTGGACCGACAGTAACTTGTATTTAGTATGAAGATGAGTTGCTTGGTGTGACTTTATGCTATCAATTAAAGACAGTGAATGCTTTTACAATTTAGATCGGGGTTCGTCAGTCGATGGAGCATTTGACTCAAAACCGCGAGGTCCCCGGTTCCAGTCCCGGTCGCCTCTCTTCTTTCTGAGGTTCATGAATGGTTACCTCACTGTGAGAATAAGATAGGTTGGACAACGTTTCCACGTTACGATTGTCGATTCTGCCTTTAAAATAAGCATTCCTGGCTGATGACATATCAGTGGATATCAGTGTTCCACCATTTATTTCGTTATATGAAGGACGCTAGAAATAGCTCCATCATGTAACTAAGAAAGATCGACCTAACAGTTACAACCTTTCATTCATTTTTTACATTTTCAAATCTGATTTCGTTGCAAGCTCGCACGTAGCCGCAGCTCTTGGGTTTTTTCTCAGTTTTTGCATAACTTATATATTGTAATGATAATATCATTAATGCTCCTTTTAAGTCGTGCAAAAGAAAGAAATGTTTTGTTGTGTTTGCTTAATGCATCGCTGTCGACTTCTTCCAACCGATATTTTTATATATCAGTATCCCAGTATTTCATTTATTCGTGAGCCGCGTTCTGGCTCTTAATATTCAATGTGCTTCTTCATTAGCCATTTTCTTTCCACTTCTGGATGAAGTCGTCGCCAAGACTTTGCCACAAACTTGTGCTTTTCGCGACTTAATTTTTGACGTTCTTAACAATTCAAATTTTAAACATTTCTCTGCAGTTAGTGACCAATCCTCATCAGTTCGATGTGATCTTGATGCCGAACCTGTATGGAAATATTCTCAGCAGCATTGGCTGCGGAATCGTCGGCGGACAGGGAGTTTTACCGAGCGCCAATTTTGGAGACAGATACGCGATCTTTGAGCCGGTACCTTGTCTCGTTTCTAATGCGCATCTCTATGCTTTGTTTAAGGCTTCTCAATACACTTGTGCGAACCTCGTTGGAAAGGATTTGGCCAATCCTTGCGTATTCATTTTGGCTGGAATCAATATGCTTCGTCATATAAAGTACGATTGCATTTCTGTGAGTTATGCTATGGTAGTAGACGTCATAATCTCGCAAATGCGGATGAACCTTGAGACGTCGTGGCACATTGGATAACAACTCCGTTTCGAATTCCGGACATGCCGGATTCGATTCTGGGGAAGGGCAGTCTTTGTCTTGACCGCAAATTCCAGATTGAGCAAGGACTTTACCCTACGATGCTTCACTGCAGCCACCTGACAGACGGGTAGCATGTCACCGACTGGGACAGCATGTTATTGTTATGCTGTCGTACCAGAATAACCGAAATGTACAGCCATGCTTTCCGATGCGAGCGCCCCCTTGTGGCTGCACTTTGCCTTGACCAGTTTCATATGGGCTGTTCAGATAGATGATCCAGGCAATATGCCACCTCCCCTCACCACCCGAAAAAAATGAAAACCTGATGAACTTCCGTGCCTGTGCTGTTTCTTGAGCTTAGTTGCATCAGTGACCCAACAAAGCCGCGCAACGTCAAAATCATTTAAAACTTCTTGAATGCATTTTTAGTCTTTGAAATAATTCACAATACACAGCTCTTTATTCGTGCAAATAAATTTAGGGGGTATGTTCAGGTATCAGCGTCTGCATTGCTTTTTACATGAGGCAGTTATTTTAAAAATTCCATTTTATATTCGATTCCGCGCATTAAATTCTGTATAGATAAGTGATGGTATATTGAAGCAAAACTTGCAGGCGTCTATTCGGCGTCAAATATTTTGATTTTGGTATTACCGGCTGACTAAATCCGGCATGATAGCGTTCATTCAAAGTCTCAAGGTCATTTTGCAATTGTCGGAAGTAGTCAGTTGGTTTTTAACCGGATGAAAACAATCCGGTGTCTGTACAAATATTCGTCACCATGATCTCAACGCGGCAATTTCGAATAAGCTTTTGATTCAGTCAGCATCCGTGGTGAAGCCAGGGATCAAAAAAAGACATCTTATCGTCACCACTGGCAATAAGGTAACTACCAGTATGAAGCTTCTTGGAAGCACAAGCAAGTTCAGATTGTGAAGGATATTCGACAGGGTGATGCAGCATCAGAATTTTATTCACAGCAGAAGAGGTTTTCAGGACGCTCCGTTGGGAAATGAGGGACTGAACATAAATAAGCATCGCTTCGGCCACTTGTAGTTAGATGCTCAAGATCACCAGAAGAACTTCAATGCGTAATTCTAGAGCTAAACGATGTCAGTAAGCAGGGCTGAAAATGAACTTTGAGAATTCGAAACCTGTTAAACAGATATGTGAATCCGTGAATTGTTGAAATTCAGTGGACTTATTCTCGAAGAGGTGCAAAACTACATCTGTCCATGGCATCTCACCTCTGCAATGGGGAACCGACAGAAGAATATAAATGACATTGAGCACTTTAAGAAAACTGAAAATGTTCGTTTCCGGGAAACTGCTTTTGTGCTTGAAAAAGAATGTATTCGAACCGAGCACTGTGTGTGGTCCCAGTGTTACTCTCTAGATGCGAAATATTGACCTTAAACCTGAAAGCTATTCATGAACTGCGGAGTTCGTTACGTAGCATGGGGAGATGTATGATTAAAATAACAACAAAGAATATATAGATAAGCGAACAGATAAGTCACAAGAAAGAATCAGTAATGCCACTCTCCGGCTGAAGAAGTTAAAATGTCATTAAGTAGGATTCGCTGTAAAGGAGTTTACCATCGTTGAACCAAAGATATATTAGACTGTGTTCCAGGAGAGAGTAAACCGCCCAGAGGAAGACCTCCAGATCGATGGCAGGAAATTCGCTGGATCAGAGTGGATAAAATGGCAGAAAACAAGTCTATGACAAAGTTTTGAAGTACTCGTCCGTTCATCCACCGGTGCGTCGAAAAACGCTTGTGCTAATGCTTGAGCTACGGTTTCGGTAATCGATAGATTTTCGTTGACATGTTCGTTTATGCTCGGCTAGGTAACAATAATTCTTCGATTTCTCAATGGTCTACTCTCAGGCTACTCACCAATTGCTTTAGATGCTATGAAGCTCAGAGCTGAAAACGTCCTGATGTTCAGTACACTTTCATCATCAGGTCTATCTTCTATTCACTGAAATTTCTTAGCTTTGCGTATCTATGATTGTTCGTTTTTGGCACTTGCATTTTTGTCAGGTTCCTAGTTCAGTCTTCAGGAATTTGAAGGAAACTGTTGAAAATCTGGCACTGTCTGCAATGCTTTTAACACCACATAAAGTACGAAACTATAAGGAAAATCATGACAGCCTTATTTGAACTAAACAGACTTCATGTGAGTCAAAGTATATCGGTTCAGTAGCCAGTTGACAACGGGTTCGTGGCATAACTAAATGGTAAATTAGTAATTCAGAACCAAAGTACCAGTGCGGTACATCTTTATTGCCACTTGTAGCTCGTAGCTCATTTTCCTCTGCGTTGAGACGTTCTGTTTTTACTTCTATTTTTTCTCTTTTCCTTTTGTGTATTTTTTCTTTCTACTACATTTATGCTTTCCTTTTCTTTACTTTATTTTTTTTGTTCCATCCATTCTAACAATTTGCTTTTTGTTTTCCTTCCGCTTTTTACGCTGCCTCTCCCTCTGGCCTTTGTTATTGTTCTGCTCCGACTTTTCGCAAAGCACTTTGTTTCCCGTTTCACCATTTCATTTGCTTATTTTTTGCGTTTGTCTCGTCACCCGACTTTCATCGTTGTAGGCGTGTCATGAATCGAAGTCGACGTGCATCCAGTCTTCTATTCTTTTCTTGAACTTTATTTATTATGGTTGTTCTGAACTCAGTTTTTACTTTACCTACTTTTTGGATGTTGCAAGGGACTACGGCATTCCCACACTTTTTATCACTATTTACCATTGTATTCTGTTTTGAGTAATGTCAGATATAATTGCAAGCCAATCACTGTGTCATTTTGGCCTGCGGTTTGTCGGAAAGTGTTGCCCATTTGCGTATCCGACGGTTCGTCTCTGATATCCAACTATGAAGTTGTCTGTCTGCCTCTCGGTCTTTTTCAGGATGGATTCAGCACTCGACGAATCTATTGATCATCAGCCGCTTGTCGTCCTGTCGCAGTACATGGCTGAGAAGCGAGAAATTTGGTTTTTTTAAATTCGCCAGAATGAGAGTTGATATTATTCCCTGCTCAGCATACTTGATTTGTATTTGTTCTAACGTCCTCCGGCAATTGTACATTCGTGATCTTCTCAATCAATCTGTAGTCGAGTATTTTGTGCCAACAAAATCGTTCATATACGTCTAGTGCATTCGTTTCTATCTTGGTAAGGGTCCAATAAGGGTTCACGTTGCTGAACCATACATCATTTCTGGTCGAATCGCTGTCATATATACGCATACTTTTACTGAAGTGCCGAAAGCAGTTTATCACAGATTTTGCAGCAACATTTATATGCAATTTGAACCTTTTTTATTTCTTCCCTGAACATCAGTTTCACAGCTTCTATCACTAGTGATCATCGATCCAAGATTGTTGACGTACTGCAAATCTTCCCTGTAAATTTTCATGGTATTTAGATTTTTTGGGGCATATTGTGAAATAAGGACTTTGAATTTCGATGGTTTTACTCTTAGTCTATTCTTGACGCTGGCTGTTTTTATCATCGCCCTCTGTAGTCAATCCGGGTTCTTTGTAATGTATGTAACATCGTCAGCATAATCTACATCTTATAACCGACGTCCTGAAGTATCACTTCTCTCTTTGTAACTGCCTTTGTAATCACGACATCTGTGCAGTAGTTAAATAACTTAAATCCGGTGACCGACCCTTGCCGTGCTTCGTGGTTTATTGGAAAGCTGTCGGAGAACTTTGAAGTTGTTCTTACTACCGCCGTTGTCTTGTTATATGTTTTTCAAGATATTAACAACTTTATCTGGCACACTGTCATTCTTGATAACTCATACAGGGTTTCACGGTCTGGAGAATTGAACGCTGCCTTAAAATCGACAAACTACAACGAACAGCGGTTTGTAGCAATGGTTGTGTTTCCAGCAACGGGAGCGATGTTAGAATGTTGTCAGTGGTTGATCAGGCCGGACAGAACCCGTAGTGTTTTT